CTATAACAGCAGTGAGAGTACAGCACCACCTCTAACAGTAGTGACAGTACAGCACCACCTATAACAGCAGTGAGAGTACAGCACCACCTATAACAGCAGTGAGAGTACAGCACACCTATAACAGCAATGCGATACAGCAGTGAGAGTACAGCACCACCTATAACAGCAGGAGAGTACAGTAACAGCAGTAGAGCACAGCAGCAGTGAGTACAGCACCACCTATAACAGCAGTGAGAGCACAGCACTAACAGCAGTGAGAGTACAGCACCACCTATAACAGCAGTGAGAGTACAGCACCACCTATAACAGCAGGAGAGTACAGCACCACATAACAGCAGTACAGCAGTGAACAGCACCACCTATAACAGCAGGAGTACAGCACCACCTCTAACAGCAGTGAGAGTACAGCACACCTATATACAGCAGTGAGAGTACAGCACCACCTATAACAGCAGTGAGAGTACAGCACCACCTCTAACAGTAGTGACAGTACAGCACCACCTATAACAGCAGTGAGAGTACAGCACACCTATAACAGCAATGCGAGTACAGCAGTGAGAGTACAGCACCACCTATAACAGCAGTGAGAGTACAGCACCACCTCTAACAGTAGTGACAGTACAGCACCACCTATAACAGTAGTGACAGTACAGCACCACCTATAACAGCAGTGAGAGTACAGCACACCTATAACAGCAATGCGAGTACAGCAGTGAGAGTACAGCAACAGCCCAGGTAACAGCAGCGCGCCGGGGAACCTAACGCACAGACCCAAACCAACGCGCTGATTCCACTAAATAATACAACTGAATGTTCCTCTCACTGAGATTTTCAGCTTGGAGGGAAGTCAGTGAACCAAGGAGAGAGAGAGAGAGAGAGAGAGAGAGAGAGAGAGAGAGAGAGTTTGATGGTCTTGCAGTGACTTGTAATCCTCTCTCAAGTTCCTTCGTGTTAGAGCTACAAGCAGTATAGAACGACCCTCACTTGTGGTGTTTCATCTGTACTCTGATGACTTACTGTAACACTGCCAAGAGACTCACGTAGACTTCTTTACTGGTGAGGAAGATTACACGATGACTCTTCAAAGTGTCAAGCATTAAAATGTCCCATTCAACGAGGAGGCGTGTAGTAATGGTTGAATTTCAGAGTTTTTTGTATTATTAAGGCGTAATGATGTTCCCTTCAACCAGGACGCAAGTAATTATGGTTGAATGTCAGAATTAATTTTTATATAAAGGATACCATAACTGGCATCTTAAAGGAGCCTTTAATGAGCCTTCTCAGGCCAACAGTTGTGGAAAGAAAATTATCGTACTGACTGACCACTGATTATAGGCTCTTTATCTCGGTGTGGTGGAGCAGTGTGTGTAGCGATAGTGACATCACTCATATCAACACAGATGAGGTAAACAGATGGTAGTCAGCTAAGGTGGTATTCCAGGCCCTATCACGAGATCTGGACAAAAAGTGTTTGAACGAGAAAGAGAAAAAAAGAAAATCACATGGAAACTTAACTTGAACTGTGCACCGAATAGATACAGTGTGCTCATGAGTATGAGTTGTCAGGGAAGACATATTGCACTACTGAAGAAGCCAGCAGTCGCGAGCACATTGCAGGGGCGGATCCAGGATGTGGAAGCTTTGTGGGGTGCTGTAAGCCACCCAGAATTTTTTTTTTTTAAATTTGAAGAATATCATGGATATTTTGAGGCCATTTTTAAGCCATTTACACTCAATATCAGGAAATATTCTGAGGTCAATAGTAGTTACTTTTAACTACACAAAAACGCCTGAGTACAATACTGCACCAAAGTAAAAGTATTGGAATTTTCTGAGGAAAAGGTGGGGTCCGGACCCCCAGAAACACCCCCCCACCACCACCCCTGGATCGCCCCTGCACATAATATCCTCAATTTGAAAGAATGGGTGCTGTGTTTGTAGGCCCTCGAGACTGCTATGCGTCACGAAATAGTTACCGTGTGATGATTATATTTAAAAATAATAATTTATGATGACTTTAACTGTATCTTAAAGTTTTTGGCATCTGTTATATAATTAGATTCAGTTCGATTAACAAGAATATTTAGAAACTAAAGCAGTGTTTTCAGTATAAATTTAGTAGTTTCACAACAGTGGTTACCGCCCTTTCATTGATTGGTGACAGAAAACGGAGTTAATGGACGAAGCGTGTCAGATGCACGATAATAATCTCTTTAACTTATTTACAGTGTAATTTGGAAACTAACAGGATACATTAATTGTCCTATTTGCAAATTAATGCATATACAATGGATATGTGATATCTTTTGTATTTAGAATGCAGACTTCATTTTGAGCAATAATTTGCTTCATAGTTCGAACCGCAGCATCCTAGAGGCATTGTCTTTAAAGTAAATACAGTATATGATAACAAAATGTGCTTTTTGTTCTAAATATCTCTGTGAAGAAATAAAATTTCACTCTGCCCTTTAAAAAACGACATTTTTTAACTGACTTGGACGAGTCTGAGGAATGCGTGAGTGAATTGTGACGTCACAGGTAGTGTAAACAAGATGGTGGACACAAGAGCGTGTCAGAAGCCTTCCTCCAGGGTTTGTCCTTTTATCTATCCATTTACAGTTTTGATTTTTGCTTAGAGCTTGAAAATGTAACGGATCACCCTGATCAGAATATTAGGCCGCCAAAATATTGCTACGGATTTTGAGTAGTAAGGTAAAAGATAGACTTAAGAGAGCCGCATCAGGGTGGCTGGTGGTTTGGGTGTAGTAGAGCCGCGGTCCTGTTAAAGACGAAAGTGTTGCTGGTGGCTTGTGTGTGGCTTGTCATGGTTCCTGCACCAGTGTTTGGGCTGAGTGTACACCTGTCCATGCTGGTGTTTCTGTGTAGGGTTATAAGATGTGACTGTCTAAATATTTTTACTATCAGCTGTGCACTTGTCATCAATTATTAAGAAAATTCTTTTGACAGGTGGCATCTCACGGTGAACTATATTGGCGACGGAATTCACATGAATTTTAATTGTTTAAGGATCGTTTAACTAATCAAAATTGGCTCTACAGTACACAGTTTTAAGTGAGTGTCAGTATTAGTAGTGTACATCTCCTTTAAGTACAGTTCCATGATATGGTAAAGGTTAACGAGAGGGTTGCTGGTTCATGATATTTCTTTATTGGATGACTACTGATATACTGTAGTATGTGGTTTAGGTGATAATGTAGGGGTAGGGCCTCACTGAGTACAGTAGTAGAATTTTTCTAGTGAAACTTTGTCATTTTGTGTAGTACAGTATATATATATATATATATATATATATATATATATATATATATATATATATATATATATATATATATATATATATATATATATATATATATATATATATATATATATATATATATATAAGTTCATTTCTGAGTAGGGTTTTGCAGCAGAGGGAAAATGTAGGGTTAAATGGATAATGTAAATAATATTCTTTGTATATTATCGAATCACTCATTTTCTGAAAGTCTGGTGGAAAACCACCGAAAAATAAGTGAATAAGTACTATATTGATCACAGGGTAAAAATTCGTTTTTATCCCAATTGGGATAAAAACGAATATTAACTGTACCTGTAACTGTATTGCCATAGCAGAAAATCGATTCCCAGCTAAAAAGAATCTTAGTGGTAATGGTAAAAAATCGGAAATATCTGTTGGGATTAAAACGAATATTAACCAATCACAGGACATGGAAAATACATCTTTGTTGTGGTAAGCAGATGGTAGCCTTTGGATAATTTTTGTGCCATGAATTTACAGGACAGTATTCTGACAAACGAAAAATTCACAGAAGTCTGTGTGATAATAACAGGATCAAACCACTGATCCATTGCTGTTTTATTTGATGTATTGTGAAGTGTACATTCTCCCCGGGTCTGATGTAATTGGAAATGAACGCAATAATACATGCACAGCAGTCTCGGTTCGGTTGGTATTTCTGATCGTTAGTTACACCTTTCATTCTCTCTTCTTGCACCTGATAATCACCATGATATCTGCAGTATACCACTTACTGTATTTTCTACATAATGTAATGAAATAAGATGAATTGTGATACCATATGCAAAACCAATAACATCATGAGTAACCCCGCTGATTTATGCACCTTAGATACTATTTCAGGCCCAGGGGATGGCTTGCCAAATAGGAATATAATGTTACTATGTTTTCATGAATCAAGGATACTATGGAATAGCTTCGAACAAAATATGAAACACTATGATCCAATATTACAATCATTTGCAAATATAGAAACTACAGGTGTATTATGATGCCATATCCAGTAACAATGACAATATGTTTACTGCATTTCGATATTATTTCTACCTCAATTGATGAGGTAACAATTATGAATATAACGTATCATCTCATGATTCATGCTGGCAACGGAACATTATCTGATACACACTACGAGACGATGGCATCAAGCCCTCCCATGGAATTGACAGTCACTATGGAGACATCACAGGTAACACGAGGCAGTATCATCGCCCTTCACGACATAGGCCTAAGCAGCAAGGAGATAGCTAACAAACATTGATATATAACTGTACTGTTATTTGGAAAGTAACATTTCTCCATTTCTGTCGGTGCATGCTGTGTTTGCCAATGAGTCTTGGATTTTAGTGTTGGTCATGGTTTTGTAGCAGAAATACCCACTACAGTAAGTCCTCGCTTAACGTCCGGGTTATGTTCCTAAAAACGCGATGTTATACGAAACAACGTTGAGCGGATCAATTTTACCCATAAGAAATAGATAAAATACGGGAGTTACGTTCCTGAGCCTCCCTTTGCCCCATGAAATACATTACATATACAGAAAATCATTGCCATTTCTATAGAAAATAGTTAATACTGTACATATACAACTACTATACTAAGTTTGTATTGGTACTAACCGATGGATGGAGGTGGTAGAGCGAGTGTGTGGTGGGTAGTGAAGCAGAGGAGGCGGGAGCGAAGGAGTATGGTGGGAGTAGAGGAGGGTGGTGAGTCACTGAGACTCTGCCAAGCCGAGAGAGCGTAGCGCGGCCAAACGAGAGAGGGAGATGCGCCTTAAAATGTAGTCTGTGACGACGCAAAACAACTTTGTACTGAGTCATTGGGATGTTAAATGAATTTTGGGTATCTAAAGATTAGCCACGTAGTACCGAAACAAAGTTGAGCGGGCCGAAGGTATACGAGGAATTGCTGTATTTGACTGCCGTTGATATATTTTAACTACATTAATGTCATTACAGGGTATATTATTATACTAAAGATGAAGCATGGTGATTCACCATAATTACAACAAATGCCAGAAATAATAACTGCCAACCTCACAGATACAGTACTGTACTAGGTAGGCAGGCCTACCAACATAATGCAGGAATCACAATTAGTGATCGGAAATATTCATCCTTTGTGACATTATATCGATGAGAAAAGGGGCCAATACTTTTTTAGGAGAGTGTACAAAATGACAAAATCATTCTTGTGTTATTTTTCACCATTATGGCTGGTAGAGTTGTACTTTTCATGGTTTTCACTGCTTGTGCATAACTCACATTCTCACATGGAAAGAAATGGCTTCTTTTGTTGGAGGAAACGGTTATCACCATTTTATAGAATTAGTTAATTTTTTCCACAGATGTTTATTTGGATGAATGTAAATATTAAAATACGACAACGTTTTCCTTTAATTAGATTTAATTTTTTTTCCACCCTTCAATCATAAACCCTCTGTAGTAGGTAGGGTATGAAAGAAGAAGGAAATTACAGGATAAAACAAGGCAAAAACTTATCATATGGCAGTATTAAAACATCACTATATGTTTTATAGGTGAAGAAAAAAATTACTTACCGTAAATATGGTGGCGGCAGTACTCCTGTGGTGACCATCCTGCTGGTGAATCCAGTCTTGTCAACATGTAACAAGACAGGATCAGCATCATATGGTTGAGAATGAATTCCATAATAGAGGTTTGGATAACTTACATATTAATTTGGAGTTGCATAGAATTTGAAGTCAACGGTATGTTCCTGTTGTTATTGTTCTTCCACAAGGCTCGTTGGAGATGCATTTCCTCATGAATGCTAATTACTGGAAAATCCATAAGTTATCACAAGCTATTGTGCATCTTGAGGATCAAGACTGTGTTAAAGACTTAATACAGTATGTGATATGGACTTCTTGGAAAGACGTGCAAGTGTAAAAAATGCAGCAGGGAAGTGACATTCAACGTACATAATCTGTTCCGGTGTAACACAAGACCTCACTATTAAGGTTGGTTCCTCCTGGTGTTAGGGGTTCTGGGGATTGTTAGGAACTTTATATGACAGGAGGTCTGAGGAGACTTTCCCACCCAGTTAGGAAGTTAGATAAAGTTAGGTAAATTTTGTTAGATTGGGTAGAGTAGGTCAAGTTCTGTTGGGTTCTGTGCATTGTCATATCGGTTTTCTTATTTACGGTATTGCAATTCCATAAATTACTTCGGGTGATAACCATTTCCTCCACCTAATACCAAAGTTTACATGCCTTTTAGTGTCATCACAAAATTGGGTAAAGAACTACTGGTATGAGATCACCCCATAGTGAAGGAAGACGACATAAGAGAATGTAAATATTATGGTAACGTAACAAAATTACTTTTGCCAGTGCAGTTTAATTCATATGATCTTACAAAACAGTTTTAAACTAAAAATACCCCAATTATGGCCCTGCTTCACATTGTGATGCTTATGCCATGCTGAATCTTCTAATCTGGTTGGTTGGTAATTCCATGCTTACACTGTCTGATAGTGTTCTTAAACGTAAGAAAGAATAATTTGTCATTGTCTATACAAAAATTTTCTATAGTTGCTGCTGTTGTTTCTTAGTGTGTATAAAATGGAATACTGTACGTAGTGTTATTAATCTCTATGAAACGTTCAGACTCCTGCTCACGTTAACGAAGATGGATTGTCCTTGTGCTGGCAGGTTGCAGCTTCTTTATTTACATGAAAAACTAGGGGGAAAGCTTGAATACGAAAAGTGCTATTGCTCCACCTGATATGCCTAATTCTAAGGTAAGAAATAAGTTTTCTTCCATAGATATTTTTGTTAGGTAGCTGGTTAACCCAGACCCTTGTTCTTAACCATTACAAAAATGGTATTCTATGGCCACACTAAAGAAGAAAGTAGATAAAATTTGTGTTGCATTTTTTTGTGAGACTGTTCAGGTTACAATATTGCAACATTTAATAATTTTTCACTGTAGCTATTGCCTGCACCTGTATACAGCTCCTCCCCGACTTACGATGGGGTTAGGGACCCAAATCCAGGTCGTAAGTCGAAGTGGTCGTAAGTCAAAATGGTCGTAAGTTGAAAATGCTTAAATAATACATAGAAAATCTAATATGGGTGTCTCTTTTTTTTCTCAGCACCACAAAACTCTCACTTTTAAGCTTGCCAGCCATTTAAAAGTGACGAAAATTTTCTCTGTACTGACGTTGGGACTCGAAAATACGTAATTTTACAAAATTTTGGTACGACTGAGGCAGGCCGTAAGTGCGGGTGGTCGTAAGTCGGGGAGGAGCTGTATACTTTTTTACTCACATTTTCCCTCTCCTGTATAGTGTGCTCACTAACAGGTTTAAATTGATAATGTTTTACCAAGGAGAAAAAAGCTGTAGTGTAAAGGAATTTGGGTGAATTAGGTCAGTAGGACGTAATAATTTAGATCTGAAGCAGAACTTTAATCATTCTGTCTAGCTACTGTTGATAAGCTTACATTAGTTATGGACTAATTTATATTGGCATGCATAAGGCAGAGATCATTTTAACTGATTTTTATATTTTATTTTATTTATTTATTTATTTATTTTGATAATGTATTGTATTCATATATGTTTTGAATTACAAGTACTGTATGTGGGATTTGCTCTTGGTTTCTAAGTGTGTCAATAGTCTCGGTTTAATTTTTCTATTATGATAATGACAATTTAGCATGGATGTAAGATGATTTTGTTGTGAAATAGTTATTACCGGTAATTTTTCCTCGTTAGCTTCACTTTTTTAAGTTTATTGGTTTTCTATAAACTTACATAGGCTTATCCAGTACAGTGATCCAACAAATTATTGCAATTTTAATATTAACAGTTTGATCATCCAAAAGATTAATTTGGACCATAATTTTTATCAGACTTAATATCTTAAACTTGTGACCTGTGTCTGGAGGGTAAGAGAGCAAACTACCAGTAAGCATTTACAGTACAGTACATCATCCAAGTCATTGAGGTGCAACACAATCATTTGCATTCAGGAGACCATTGTTTCTTGATATTTACAAATTGGTACACATCCACCTTGCCACCTTGTCTTTTAAGATGTCATGTTCTATTGGCCAGGAGCATATACAGGTAGATGAAGCATTAGCAAGTTCTAGTAAGATGTGGCAGAAGTGGAATTCCTGTTATAGCATCCCCAAAAAATGAAAATGTAGAATTGTTGGATAACCTGGCTTAGTCTAATGATAGTAATGTGCTCTATTCGCTCACCATGTGAATCACAGACAGTATTCATATTGTTTTTAGTGTACAGAATAAGTAAAATCCGTGAATGTTATATTTTGGGGAGTTGATATAACCATATACTGTACAGTATACCGTACATGCTCAGCAATGTTCCCTCCAGGCTGCACAGCTGTGCAACAGTCTGTCAAGTACCATACTCTTAATTTTTCCAGCCATGGATATAAGATAAACATTTTAAGCAACACATCTTGTTATTTATTCCTTTGTTTTTTTTTATTCTTTCTACTTCCTTCATACAAATGATAACTTGAAACATGTGTATTAGAGGTTATATAGATACTTTATTTATATTAGTGTCACACATACACACATTTGATGCAGTACAAGTGCACAAAATAAAATTCATTTTGTACTGTAATGTAAAAAATTTAAGGGGGACTTTGATGCTCAACCCAATCTATTTCGATCCATTGCAAGTCAAGTTCTTGTGCATTAGCCTAGCCTTTTTTTTTGTACGGTACCAAACTCTGAGATCAATTGGGGGACCTTTGTACTGTACAGTACAGACTCCCATTTGCCATAGCTGTATTAAAATGTTTACTGTACGTCTCATAAAAAAATACTTGAAGTCATAGCTGTTGTGTTTGACTCATACATTGGGTGGTTTCGTGCTGGAACCTAGGAATGCATGCCAAGAGAATTATTATTATTTATGAATCTTGTGTGTTTTTTGGAGCTTTTTCTTTAATTTTTACCATTATTATTAATACTTAGTGAACACACTATAAATATTACAGTGGCTCCAGTGTTGCCTCATTTTTTACTGTTCACCACGTTTAAATATATCTTTTTCTTTTTTGTAAGTTTTGTTTATATTCCCTGCTCATTGTTTTAAATAAAATGTATGAATCCTTTTGGTGCTGTAAGAAAACAATGACCCACTTACCTGCACCCTATCAGGATGTGCATAGGATTTTGCTACTTGCTACTTCAGTCTGGTTCTAATTGGGCTCAATTTCTAAGTGCTGTACAGTATTTAGAATTTTCAAAAAAGCTAATAAACCATCAGTGTACAGAATAGTCCTAATGGGGCTTCCCAGTAAAAATTGTGGGAGATCATGAATGCACATCCTTAAGACATCACCCAAAAGATGATAGTTGAGGTTATGATACCATTCATACTGTTACGGCCCTCCTCACTGCTTACCCAGCTTCCACCACTGGTTACCAGCGGCCAAAGTTGTATGTACAGAAGCAGTAGATATCTCACAAGTGTTGTCGAATTACCACTGGCTGTCCAGCCAGTCTCTGGTAATTTCCCGACAATCAGTATCAGTGTACAGAAAAACAACAGGCAGGTAGATTTCCACCAGGTCACAGAAACACACTTGTGCACTATAGTCTTCTTTAATAAGCACTGATTCTTCACAACACTGTTAACAGGCTTCAAAACTGGACTTCTCACTTCGTATATATACTAAAGTCGGCACACTACCAGTGTACAATTCCATAGTCTTTTCACTTTATATTGTTAACAACGATTCCACAATACTTGCACAACAATTGTCTTTAGTTATTCTGCTCGGCTTTCTTTACACTGAACAGAAACCATCGACTAACTCCACTAGGCAGCCCGCGGCTGCTTATATATGGTTCGTCAGACTAGGATTTATGTGTGTTTATTTACAAGTAATATTCCCATTGGTTGGAACAATTGGTGCAATGCATTTCTGGGGTATTGAGACAAATTCTATTATCCCGGAAAAAATTGATCATTTACGGAATTTTTCCGGGCACTGATGAATGTTTCTGCTTCTAAATTACGCATCTGACACGTAGCACCATTGCTATGCAGGCTTAACTTGGATCAGACAGACACAGCAGAATCTATTTATGGAAACACTGCTGCACACGTACAGTATATTATAAATGAACAAAATATACTACTGTATACACTATACTCTCCAGCAGATGTCATCCTGAGCTTGTGGTGCAGGCAGGCCAAATGGTTATGGGATGGAACAGGATGGTCTGCTTTGTCTTGTACCATTTTCTGTAGCAGCTGGTGTAAATTGTCACTCTCCCTCCATTAAGGAGGGACTGTACATGTACTGTATACTGTACATACCATACACCTTCTACACACTAGCCTACAGTAGGCAAACACTGTCCACTCTACTATGCACAACACAGTGAGTTAGCGAACAAGCTTGTACAATGGCGCAGCAAACATTAAATTAATTATGTCACAATGGAAGAGTTTGAGGAGATGACCTGTGAGATATATCAGTCAATTATAGGCATCCCCTGCAGGCACATGACAGTAGTAGCCAATCGTAGCATACGAGCACTCTGAGCTTACCCACCCACGTGTCAGCGCATGATGCAATTGCTCGGAAATTCCTTTGAATGTCTGCAACGGAAAGAATTTTCGGGAATTTCTCAGGGTACCTGTAATCAAATTTTATTATCCGGGTAATGGAAAGTTCCAGGGATCTTTTTTTTTTATATACAAAGGATTTTTCCTTAAGGAAGGAATAAACACCCAACTTTGGGTTTCATTCCTGTTCCTTCCCTTGCTGTCATTTTATGGACAAAGCAGTTCACTTTGAAGCTGGAAGTGGCTCAGCAGAAGGTGCATTGCCACAGATCTATCAGTGACTTGCTCCTCCCTATTGGTAATGACCATGTTTCTCTTTTTGAGATACACTTATAGGGAGTCCTTTTATTATTTCTTCTGGCCATGACTGAGCTTTGAGTAGAGGACACATCTGGGTAATTAGTTAGAGGCTAGCATATGTTAGGCCCTTGAGCCTAACAAACAGGGCACTGGTTATTTTAATGAAGAATGAGTTGCTCTTCCCCCATGATGTAGGGAGTATGAAATCAGTAAATGTAGTAAATATGGCATTATGCAAATTAAGGATCTTAAAAACGTTTACAGTACTCCAGATGACTTGGCTACTTGATAAAGTTTACTTTTCTCTGTACATAGTTAAATATCTTTTGCTTGGTATATATGATACATTATGTAATGTTTTTGTGTTACTAGAAAACTAAATCAGCATGAGATAAACAGGTTTAACATGACAAATTTACCATTGGGGCAACATTGGTGTACATTATACTGAATTCAAAGTTTTCTAACCGAGATACTGAAAGTTATTGCATTCTGACTGTGTACAGTACTGTACATTGATTGACTTTAGGTCTCTTTAAATTTAAATATAGTACTGGATATGAAAGTTTTCCTTTGCCATGAGTAAAGGGATTAGGTTTCACATAGCTACCTCAGATTTATAAACTAAGAATTGGAGCTTAATCAGTGCCTTGTGATTACTCTTTGAAAATATATGGAAATGTGAAAGTTTAGGGGTTTGTTAGTGTACATGAATGACCAGCTTGGTGCATACACTGAAACTCAGGAGGATTATCTGAGAAAAACATCATAGTTTCTTCTCAACCATTTTTGCTGTGTATGACCAATGCATGCTGTATACAAGACCCCCAAGGAATTATTCTTTTAAATATACTTTGATTTTTATTATTTCTTTTTGCAGTTCTGAGTGGTCCACTCTTGATCAGTTCCAATGCATATCCAAAAAATGCCTGCACAGTCGGTACGTTGAATGGCTTTGCATTTAAGCCATAGGGGAAGGACAAATAACCATAGCCATAAGTGGATAGCGACACAATTTAACCTTCAGTTTGCCTGGAATGTACTTAACAATAATAATAGTCTTTTTACAGTTCTACTACAGTATTTACAGGAGTGACTGAAATTACCTCAAATATTTTTCTTAAACTGTAGGTTACCATCATAATATTACCTGTGTAAATACATACATACTGTACAACCTGTACTATGTTTATGCAAATGAGAATATATCAAAGGACACTTATTACTGTATGTTAGTTGCATTTTCTGCATGGCCTGTTTGTTTTTCCTTTCCCTCTTGTTTGTACATCATTTTTATTTTGTTGCCTTTGTAATTTTTAATGCTTGTAGTTGTTGATGTAACACAACCCAATTTTGATTTGCTTCATTGATTTAAAGAATACAGTACAGTATATTAGTTTTGTAAATAAACCATATGCTGTACTGTATATGTTTGTGTGTGATATTAATCTTTAATTTCTATTGGTATTAAAGACCAGTACAATTTATTTTACTTTTTATTTCAGATTTTGTAGTTTTCTTGATTGGATGTGATTTACAGTTGAATATTCCTCAAATTTAGATGTTTTAGTCCTAAATATGGGAAACATTTTGAGCAGGACGAAATATTCATGCACTTCGGGATGATCAAAACTGCAGTGGGTAATATTTTTAGTAGTGATGTTCCCAGCTACACATTAGTATGTAAAACTTGTACAAGTACTGTATACAATTTACACAAGCAAGAGATCATACTAACAGAATGTTCTAAATTAAATGTCTTCACCTATCCACTTTTACTCTTTATTAATAAAATAATGATCTTTGTATATAATCATTGCTGCTAGGTAGTGTAAGTGATAATAGCATTTTGGAGGGCATGTCATTAATATTCATTAATTGTTTCAGTATATTATTTTCTGCAGTGATTAAGCTCTAAATAAATTTCTAATTACTTTAAGAATATTGAATAAATATTACAGTAGAAGTGACTGACATTCTTTAGATGAAGTGATCTCACTCCTTGGGTGATGATTTCTTGTATAGTAATACTGTACTGTACGTTGTTTGAGTTGCTATCAATACAAATTGTTACTTTTCCTCATTGTAGCCTCTTTGCATTGCAATTAAAAAAAAATATTATATGTAGATGTACAGTATTTCTTATCTGATTCCTGTGGGGTTACAAAGAAGTTGTTAAGAATCATTAAAAAAAATGAGGAGAAGCAAAGACCGTGATGGATTTACAGAATAATGCACTGTAGTAAACTGACAGATTATTTATTGGTGGATATAAACACTTTGAAATAATTTCATGATTAATGGCAAAGGCATTACAGTACTGTACATGATTTCCACCTTGATACTCGGAAATAACACAAACTGTATGATGATCTCTGTTGTAGGTGTAGTCAGTTACTCAGTAGTTTTCAACTGACCCCAGATGTGGCAACTGGATACATATAGTGGAGTACTGTAAGTTTTTGTTTCAGATGCATATGTTAAATATTTATTACAGTACTTTATAATTGATCATACTGTATTTAATTTATGTACGTACTTATGCCATACCACGGTGGTTATGTCATGTGGCAGAGATTCAATAAAAGTAATTACAGTTTTTATTTTCAGGTGTGGCATTATTTGTTTGAAGGAGTTGTCCAATAATTAGTACAGGGTACTTTTACTGTTGAAATGCTCCTCTTTGTGGAGGAAATAGAAGAGTAGCAGCTGATAATGATTATCTTTGAAGTGTATGCAGAGTTAGGAATTTTTAGAATGTAATGAAGAAATTGTAGCAGAGATTCAGCAGTCAGAGCAGAGATGAAAATATTAAAGCACAGTGCAGTAAACTGTAGTGTAGAACAAAGTTATGAGAGGGAGATTTATTTGATGATGAAGAGAGTGATTGATAGGAAACAAAAATTGCTAATGATGATCCATCCATGTACACTTGTACAGGAGTGTAGATAGAAAATGGCAGATTATTACTGTAGGCAGAAAAAGACTGACAATACAGATGGAGGAGTGCTAAGGAAAAAGAGGACTTATCATTGATTAGATTAAAAGAAAAAACTTTTCATATGTGTTATATTTGAGTACAGGTGCTCCTCTACTTACAAACGAGTTACGTTCCGGAGGCTTGTTCGTAAGTCTAATTTTATTCCTGTAGATACCAACCGTATTGCAAAAAATAAAAATAAATAAATGTTGTATAATAGGACTATACCCTGCAGTACAGCTTTAAACCTAGTATACACTTTGCTTTTTTGGCAATGTATGTTCTATCGCATTTTCTCCAATATAATCGTCTCATCCACTTTACACACTTTCTCTGGCAGGTAACTACCCTCAATGATGATCTTTCGTACCTCTGAAAGTTTGTAAGTTAGAGGAACACCTGTATTAGAAATAAAGATTTAAGCTAAATTCATCCATCATTAAAGTTATATACAGTATGATTCATATATACGATGAAAACAGGATGTGACAGGTCACCTTAAAGGTGATCAGTGAATTAAAGGAATTATCTGTTATATTAACTGGGTCTATACTGTTCTTCTTCCACCTAACTATTAATTAGGTAGACTGAAATACGGTATTATATAGAGATTAATCCAGGCTCAGACTAACCCTTCATAGCTCATTGTTTCCTGTACTACCACCTAAACAGAACACATTCAGAGGGATACGGTCTTCCAAATTCCGGCATGTATTTGGCAAAGGTTCCAGGAAGGAGAACTGCTATGAGAATGTCCTCATTACACAGAAGGCACATGACACTGCAGCCTGTGCTGCCAACCCAAAGTTTGTTGCCATTGCTGTGGAAGTGGCAGGTGGAGGAGCCTTCATTGTCCTCCCTTTGGATAAGGTCAGCTCATCGCTTCTGTCCATATATAGAAGTACTGTACTGTACTGTATTTATATTTTGAATTTACTTTAATTGAATTACTGTACTATATTATAGAAGATCATCTGGCTTTAAAATTAAATTTTTATTGTTGCAGCTCTTGTATAATATACAACTAGATTTTACAGATTGGGAAACAGTATCAGTTCATTTAAATTGTAAATTAGATTTAATCATAGAAAATTAGAATAACAGTATTATTGTTGCTGTGGGTTTAAAAAGGAGAATAAAGCTAGCTTTGTTACAAAATCGTCTTAATGTAGTTAAGTTGTACTTATCATATTCTCACTAGACTGTAATTTCAACTTTTTTGACAGACTGGTCGTATAGATGTGAATACCCCAAAAGTAACTGGACATGCTGGACCAGTTTTGGATCTGAAATGGTGTCCCTTTAATGACAATCTCATTGCCTCTGGTGCTGATGACTGCACAATCAAGCTGTGGCATATTCCTGATGGTGGGCTTAAGGTCAACGTAACAGAACCATTGGCTGACTTGCAGGGCCACCAGAGACGTGTGTCCATAGTAGAATGGCACCCAACTGCTGAGAATGTTCTCTTTTCAGCTGGCTATGACTACCAGGTGTGTTTTCAGCTTTATATATATATGTGGGAGTGTGTGTGTGTGTGGGTGTGGGTGTGGGAGTGTGTGTGTGTGTGTGGGAGTGTGTATGGGTGTGGGTGTGGGAGTGTGTGTGGGTGTGTGTGTGTGGGTGTGGGGAGTGTGTGGGAGTGTGTGTGTGGTGTGGGAGTGTGTGTGGAAGTGTGTGTGGGTGTGGGTGTGGTGTGGAGTGTGTGTGGGTGTGGGTGTGGGAGTGTGGGTGTGTGTGTGCGTGTGTGTGTGTGCGTGCGTGCGATACACTATACATATAAAATTATTTTTCCTTATTCTCATTGATCAATGTTCTTGGTAAATTGCAGATACTTATTTGGGACACTAGACGAGCAGCCCTCATGCAGACCATTGATTTGCACTCTGATGTAATATACAGCCTCTCCCTGAACCGTGATGGTTCGCGATTAACCACCACCAGCAGGGATAAACGTTTACGAATTATTGACCCACGCTCATGCAAGCTGCTACAGGTGAGGAAAGTCTCTTGTCACTGCTGTTAGGCAGACAATATGTTGTGTAATATCAGTACTGTACTGCACAGGGTGTCAGGGTCACACACACACACACACACCAAAGGATTTATATATATTTTTTTTAATGTGAGAAAATCATAACAATTCAAAGGTAGAGAAATTAACACTATAGGACAGAGCGATATTGATATTCATGTATAGAAAACCAGATGCTACATGCTGATCAGTTGCAAAAGAATTTAATTGGCAACTTTAAAACTACCCACAGACATTCTTGGGTACATCCAGGGTGTCTCGCAAATAACTGAGAACCGCGATGTAAAAATCCGAGAACTTGGGGGGGGTCCCTGTACTGAGTAAATAGAATTTAACACTCACTAGAGATGGTTTAGAAAGTTGTTTTTAGAAGCTGTTCAAGGTAATGTCAGCAGTGCATGAATTTTGCAAGGAATGCACTCTGATGAACAATTTTATTTTATTTATTTTTTGTACTATTTAATTGTTTTTATTTTTATTTATTTTTTAATAAATATATGGCAAATGATAGGTAGTATGAAAATCATAGATGTATGCATATCTATATTACAGGTGAAATCTTAGAAAAATTAGGGTTTTTTGGGGTGGTGCAGAACCTAACCCCCCAAAGTGCTTTTTGTAGGCAGAAGTGAGACCACATATACTATTATGTTCACTGATTCTTTTCTGTACTGTATTATACAGTATGGTGTCATCTGATCATATATGGAGAGGATGAATAATAATGAAGCAAATGAAAGATAAGATAAGTTTCTCCAACTGTTGGTTAGGTAATGGGGTAACAGTTTTGAGAGTTTGTAAAATTGGTATTATAATTTTCAAGTTTTGGAGTGCTTATGTCAAACTGGGAACACTGTCAAGAAAATGACCTTGACCTCAGCTAATGTATTTAAGGAACTTAAAAAAAAATGGTAGCTGTAAGCTGGTTGTTGGTTGTAATTAGGGGAGGAGCTGTGGGCTGGAATCCTCATTGATTTTTGCTATTCTTGTGTTGTCCTGTGTTTGTCTGCACTTCACGCACAAACTGGATGTTTTATCCCTGAAAGATTTAAGGTAGACTTGGAATGGCATTTTTTTTTTTTTATCTACCCAAAACGATGATTAAAATACTACCATGGGGGGCAATGTCTTTACCAATACTTTTTATTTCAGATTTTATTTATTCAGTTTCAGAATGTTTCAGTATCATGGGTTTAATGCCTCTTCTATTTTGGACTAATCATGCTTGGTTATCCATGAATTTCATTGTTAATTGTGCTTTTATTAGTCACCCCTTTAGCATGTAGGTCATTTGGTACTACAACTTAACCTTGAGCCTAAGCATCCTGCATATAAATTTCAGGAAGGTGTGTGCCACGAGGGTTCCAAAGCTTGTAAGGCAGTGTATTGTGGAGACACTGGGATAGTGTTCACCACTGGTTTTAGCCGCTTCAGTGATCGGCAGTATGGAGTCTGGGACGAGAAGAGTCTCAACACACCTCTTCGACTGGATACCATTGACTCATCCTCTGGTGTCCTGACTCCTTTTTATGATCATGACACAAGAGTTGTCTTTGTGGCTGGGAAGGTAGGTCACCATATCGTGATGGTGGTTGATTTAATGAAATCTGATAGAAATTTTATGGCATCATAACTAAATGTTTTCATGAAGTTTTCTTTCCTAATGGTATTGTAATCCTTTCAGGGGGATGGTAATATTCGATACTATGAAATCACTGACAGTCCTCCTTACTGCCACTTCCTCAGTCAGTACATATCAGGTGAACCTCAGGTAAGATTCTACGTCCACACTAAAGATTTATTTCAAAATATTTTCATATCTGTTTCCACAATTGGGTAGTCCGTTGAACATCAATAATAGATGTGTTGATGAACTATGGGAGGAAACTAAGGAAATCACGTTCTGTACAATACTTTGATTTACTAAAGTGCATATTTGGTATAATGGAAGGTGGCCTAAAGGATTGAGTGGTACAGTATGTGGGAAAGGCGTATTGATATACATATGGTTGGAACTGAAAGCTGAAATTTGTAGCTCCCAAATGAAATAAAAAGCTTCCAAATAATTTTTTTTTTTTTTTTCATGTACCTGTACAGTTTTATTATCCACTTCAAACAGTTTTCTTTTAATTTATACCATACCAGTTAATCATTCTTTCTGAATTTTACTTTTTTCCTTTTTGAAAATTCCAAAGTTTTAAACAATTTATTCCATTTTCTAGCTCATATACATGTGTGCACTCAGATATATATAAATGCATACTTAGAATATCACCACCTATATATATACAATGCAGATTCCTGTCATAATAAAGAAATGCAGCTAATTTTAAGAAACTGTCCTTGAATTATGTCAGAATAGTGGCTTGTGTGATGATTTCTCAGCTCAGATCTGTTTCAGCGTGGCTTTGGGGTGATGCCAAAGAGAGGGTGCAAAGTTTCACAATGTGAGATATACCGCTTCTATAAGCTGTATGCTACCAAGGCCATCTGTGAACCTATCTCCATGATCGTACCCAGAAAAGTATGTACATGGTCTGGTCTAGTCTAGTCTGTATTATTAATTCATTTTCTTTTTTAACAATCTCGGTTGTAATTTTTTATTGGTATTTTGATTTTCAATATTGCTTAGATTTTTATCAATACATTTGAGTGAAAATTATAAAAAAGTAAGGAATATATGCTTGCCAGTTAAGTATGAAGAAATGTTGATTTGTGTCAAGATAGTTATGTTGTGTTTCATGTCAGAATGAAAATAGGAGCAAATTATACTTGCCTAATCAAACTGTACTCACCAGCTGGCAACTTCCCTTTAACAAGTCTCTGAACCCTCTGGCAAATGTCACACATTTTTCATATGTAAATCGTGGAGTAACAGCCAAATAAAAAATGAAAAACAACTTTATCAGTGTATTTTGTATATTTGTTCTTTCTTATATAAATGCAGGATAGAGTACAGTAATTACAACTTAAATATTTTTTAGCTTTAGTTTTCAATATACAGTATTCTCCTTATAATTGATTCTGTATGTTGCGTAATAGTGATTTATCAATACTGTAGTTGAAACCATAAATATGTAGTCGAGGGTGTAATATTCCTATGTAAATGTCTTTTATGTTCCATAAGTTTTTGTGTCCCTCAATCTCTCAAAACTTTTTTGTTACCCTTTGTAACGGGTCATTCTCATTGTCAGTCACCAATATCAGCAACATTTTCATCTCCTTTTCACTACTGCTATTTACTGATTTTGCCAATTTACTTTGAAAATTTAAATAAAAAAGGAACTGCACATTTCCACTTTGAGAGGAACTTTACATGTCAGTTCCATAGGTGGGAGAGCATCACTGGGCAGCAAATATTCAGCAGATTACCACCCAGTGATTATGCTTACTGTACTCATAAATTATTATTCTGCTCTTCTTCAAGCTAATCAAACAGTCTTTGTCCATTAAAACCCCCAAAAAGGCAAGGTTGATGCATAGAAAATACAAAAAACATGCTGACTGGAAATTTTACTCCTTAGCTTCTAAGTGATAACTGAACCACCAGTTACACAGCCTGACTCATCAGCTGGAGATAAAAGCTGGATGAAACCTTAAATTTTGCCAAGAGTGTTTGCTTGAATATCATTGCATGCCTCTGGAGCTAGTCATCAGAAATTTTGGGTGAGAAAGAACTGCAAAATAAATTTTCATGTTTCAATTAAATGAAGATTTTTTTTATATGATAGGGGTGTTAAGAGTAGTAAAAGACATGATAATGTTACTTTGTTTTGATTTCCCAGAGTGATCAGTTCCAACCTGACTTGTACCCTGACACAGCCTCCCCCACACCAGCACTGACAGCAGACGAGTGGTTTGCTGGAACTTCTAAAGGGCCAGTTTTAATGTCAATGAAGACAGGTGAGTTACAGACAAACTAAATATTTTAATTTTTTTTTTTTTTTTTGGCTACAAACCCTGTTGACTGAGATGTAAAAATTTTTTAAAACACTGAATATTACCAGAAACTAAAGCACATTTCCAGAAGTACAGTTATTGAAATATTACTATAAAATTAATGCTATTTTGGATAGAGAGACCCAAAGTGAGCTGAGCTTTGTTGTACTGCATCTTTATTTGTTTACCATATGCAGTACAGTAATCATTCTCCTTTAGCCTAATACTATTATGATTATTAATATTGTTATAGTTTTCATTATTATTATTACGAGATTCAATGATAATCAGAAGCAACTTGCTCATAAAGATGATAATACCATATTTGTTTATATAATAACTTCACAATAGGCCTTTCAGTGAAAAAAAAATTCATGGATTCTGCTACTATAGGTAGAGGAAACAATCTATAGATTTTAGTATTCGCTTGGTCAGAAGTTAGGGTCACTGTCTGGGAGATAAGCTATTCCTCAGATAGCTTTCTAGGTTTGCTTTAGAATGAAGAACCAACTAATGAGATGGAATAGTTAATAACAACCAGGAGGTTTCTGTGACCTTTGCTTTTTGTCACTTCTTATAACATACAGGGAATATTGTACTTAATAGGTCGTGGGGAACACAAGAAACCTTCTAAATGGAATAAAAGGCTTCTTTTTTCTTTCTTTTTTCCACTCATCTTTTTTCTAGGTATGACAATCAAGACTCATCGCCCACTCCCTATGCGACCAACTGAATCCACCTCTGACAAAAATGCAGATAAGAAATATGCTTTCCTCTCAATGGAGACACGTGCAGACTACCGGCCCATGGAGGTGGGTGTAAGTAACCATTTTTTTTTTTTTTTTTGGTGGTTCTATTACTAGTATAAAATTAATGTAATTTATGTAAGAGATGAAATGAAACTTTACCTTCTGCAACTGATGAAATTTAGATATTGTATAGGATATTGTGTCAGCCATATGAATCAATTCAGTGTGAGCAGTGAGTAATATATTGTACAGTACAGTATAATGTTTGTTTGTACAGTACTTTTGTTTAGATAATAAAATGGATAACTACTTGTTATACAATATCATAAGGTTAATATTAAGCAAATGATAAATAATAGAATGATGAAAGAAGTATAAATAAGAAGTTAATGGTATGACAGATAGAGGCAATGACTCAGAATGAAACAGAAGGACAGGATGAAGGAAGCATTAACTGGAGAGGGATGGAGGTCCAGGAAGTGTGGTGTATAAATGAATGGAAACAGGCTGCTGAAAGGTGATGGTGGGTTGTATGGACTGACAGGGATGAACCACATGGATATCATAGTTAAAACATTTAGAAAGTGAATGACGATGAAGAGAGAGTGTGTGTACGTTCCTCAGTCTGGTCACCCTTCAACGTAAAGAGAAATGGCTTGAAAGGTTAAAAGTAAGATATTCCTTAAGAAAAATAAAACTAAGTGTGAAAAAATGTAGAGGAATACTTATAAGAATGATGTAGTATAATAAGAAAGCAATAGTAAACAAAAGTCACAGCAAGAGATTCTTTATTATAAGAAAATATAATAATGGGCCTTGTCATGTGTCAGTGGATTATTTTGTTAAGGCCCTAGACCATTGTAACCTTTATTGCCAGAGTTACCACTTTATTTTGAAAGATGTGTAAAGGATGTCATCTTTAATTATAAGCTTAGTACAGTACTTTGATAATTAGCTTTAAGTCAGCTATGCTTGATTCATTTCTTTAAGTATTTTGCTTAGTTTTATGGTCTTCGGTCCTAAACCAGCCATGCACTATTCATATGTCAATAGTTTTTAGAATAGTATTGTCATCATTGGTTTTAAATCAGCAATGCTGGGTAGATTTCCTAGTAGGTTTTAGCTTAGCACTGTGAGCATTAGTCTTGATAGCCTTGCTTGGTACATCATTAAGTTTGTTGAGTTATAGTAGGAATGCTATCTTGTGTGCATAACTGTTAGTCATAATCCATTCAAATACACACTAGTGAATTAGGTGTTGTAAACCTTTTAAGGGAAATGGTAATCAGAGTTAATATAACATTAAAAAGTAGTTAATGTATTGGTAAGTAAATGTTGCAGGTTGAAGCTTGTTAAATAGGTCTTAAGTATTCCTTGTGTGTCATCAAAAGTGAATAAAATGTTGGCATAGGGTTAGGAATCCTTTTGATATTTTGTAAAATCCCCTGCAAAGGTGCTGAAAACACACCTTCATATGATACGTTTGTAGGTGTGTTATGATTAATGGGAAGTGAATAAGATTTACCATTAATAGAGAAAAGTGTAAATGATTTAGGGAAAGAAACCCGTAAAGACGTGGATAAAATTGAATGGATCTTTTAATTGAAGGAAAGTAAGAGTTGTGGCAGCAAGTTTGACAGATAGGAAAGAGGTCGTGTTATGTGCTTGTGTATATTGTTGCACTATACTATGGTCTTGTGTTGCAGGTGAAGACCTCAAGCAGCACTGACAAAGACCTCAAAACCTCCACAAACTTGGACACCAAATTTCAGGCACTTCAGAAGCTTTGGGGATGTAATGTTAAGAATCTGGTGAGTGTATTTTGGTTGGTGTCGAATTTTAACTTAGATGCTTGAAAATTTTTGCAGTAATGTCATGGTATGGCAGTGTCTTTTGTCTGTTGTCTGTCTGTTAAGGCTAGTTTCAATTAATAGATTCTCTATGTATTTTTGGAGAATGTTATCCTTAGTACAATTTTGGCCACTTTCACTTTTGATGGTTGTAGTGTACAGTGTATGGCTCTAGGGCAGGGGTCCGCAACCTTTATACACTAGTCAGCCACTTAATGGTGCAAGTAATCAGCGATCGGTCGCAGGTGTACTAAGCCAACATAGGTCAACACTGCATTCCACAGAATTGAATGTAAAATCAGAAATGCAGGATTATATTTTATTGTCAGAAAATTGTTATGAACAACACCGTTATTTAATACTACACATAACTTTCATTTTCAGCATACAGTATACATATTCTGCATTGAAATAATAGTACTAGTCATTAACCTAGCTAGATATTCTGTAAAGACATATTAGAATATCTAGCTGTATGTAGCCACGTATTAATCAGATAAATGAAAAAATATGTGGACAAAACCTTGATAATTCCCACAGAAAGTAAAAGATTAATCTACATAAGTGTCTCCCCTAGAGAAATTTAAGCCAATGAAATATCAATTTTTTAACATATCGGCCAATCAAAATCGGGGACTCGATTCTTAATTATTTCCTTAATTTCCCTGCTTTGTATTTTCACCTAAAATATAAGGAATATTAACAGTCTTATAACCCACATAGCCTGAAATTTAGACGTCACTCAACTGGCTGCATACTTACCCCTTTTTGAAAAATGGGGGTTGTGGTCCCCTGCTGTAAGAGTATCCTGCTCAAGTTAAAAAATAACCCATCTGGCTGCACAGATTACACTTTATAGATGTGGTACATTTATTGGACAATAATAAGCTCATGGGGTTTCTGAAATTGAAATGCTGATGAGGTCTAGGTTGTCTATTGTTAACATGGAATTGGATATTTTTTACATAAGCTTTAATACTGAAGGACAATTGTGAGAAAGCATGAACATTGATTTGTTTTTTTCTTGAGCAGTTTGTTGCATATTTATGATGGCCATTAAGGGAGCAGGTGTTAGATACATTTTCAGTGCTTAGTTTTAGATTACCTTTATATGCATTATGTGGCACAAATTTTCAAATTTCTTTTTGTCATTTCATTTATGGTATTTTTTCTTTGCTATTTAATGTTTTTCATTCTTGTGCCATTCTACAATTCTTTGAATTTCTTCCTTTTGTATGCATGCATCAGCTTATATTTGTTCTTCAGTGGAAGAGAATGGTGAAATGGTAACTGCTTAACTTATGTGACTCCAAACTCAGCCTGTAGAATTCTTCAACAGTGAAGTGCCGACACAAACCCTTTAGCACTTGAAGGTCTGGTGATGGTCTTGGGCTACAACCGATAATCCACATATGGGATGGACAGCCTGGTGATGGGTAATGCTGGGTTGTGTGAAGTGATCGGTAAAGTATATACGTATATACTGTATGAGGTCTTGTTGTTGAAGAGAAATGAAACTACCATAGCAGAACACATTATTACAACTATGAAGGGAGAGTCTGCATTTGGTCTTGATTCTGGCTATCCTATGTTGTAGTGGGAAAAAATGTGAAAGAGTGAAAAGAAAGTCATGTAAACAAGTGTGGAGACATTCTATTTGTTGTCAGGTATGGCAGCTTTATAATTGATATATACTGTACATTGGATATGTCAGACAAGTTTTTGTTTTGGTAAGTATTTATGGACCTTAAACAGACACAGTACCAGTATTTTTAGGATTGTTATGATTAATTACATCTGCAGCACAAGAAGCACCTAAAGTATATCCTTTAACAGGCTGATAATAAAGAGCAGTGTTCAACCAGTAGCAGTGGAATAGAGTGTGAGAAAACATCAACAAAAAATACTATTAATAAAATTAGTATCAAGACAGGAGACTCACCCAACAAGTTGGTAAACTATGGCATGCAAGAAATGGAAATTCAGATAGTGGATAAACCTTCACCGAAGTCAGAGTCAGAGGTATGTTGGTTAAAGTATCCTTTCACTGTATTTAATTTTGTGATGTACCAAAGAATTTTTGGGCTTCAATCTGGTCTTGGTTCTTTTGAAGCTCATGGGAGACCTGAGACCAAGAAATCTTTATGTAGCTCATAAATTCTAAATTTGTTACATTAATTTATGAGCAGTGGCTTCTTTGGGGATGGGTATAAGTAGGTGGTGTAATGAAAGCAGTCATATACTGTATGGGGTACTATTTAATTCATAAATTATGCAGTTACAACCTTTTTTAAGCAGTTTCCAAGTTGAACAAATCCTGCTTACATTACCTCATTACCCAAAGTTGTCCTGTTTGTGCTTACTGTTTGTTTGCTTTTTGAGTCATTTTGCATGTGCTGCTTGATTTGTTTAATAGAACTTAGAAGTGATCATAGAGAATGGCTTATTATTTTTACCAGAACAAATATTTTGATTATCATAGCATTCGCTCTTGAAATCTGCAATGAGGCACTTAATGCAGTTTATGAATGTAGGTCATACTTGTATATAATTTATATCATTATATTGAAAATTAGTCAGAGTGGTAAGAGTTTGGCTACTCTACGGCCATGAAGGTGAGCCAGGAGTGGAAATGATGTGGCCACAGTTTGGTTGTTTTGGCCTATACTTTACTGATAGAGTTCCATGATGGAAGAAATAATCATGGGTATTGTTTGGTACGATTTACACATTAATTTCTTTAATTGCAGTTTTATTTATGTTTGCTGTCTTTTGTTACACCTTCAACACAATGCAGATATTGAACACAAGCATATTTTTTGAAATCCTTTGTTTGATTTTGCATGATCTCTGAATTAATTAGGTCTTGTGAGGTATGATGCACTAACAGTTTCCAGATTTGTTAGTATAAGAAGCTGTTTGAGTTCTTTCAGTTTGGTTCTTATTTCTTTATAGATGTGGATTGTTACATTAACACTCTCGTGATCAGACATGCATAACTGGCATTTTGATTTTATGTAAATGGAACTTTTGCCTCACATCAGACATGCCAGTATGTTTTTTTATTTATTTATTTTTTTTTATTGAAATTACTTAAAAATTTAACACCACCTTTGTCACACCACTCTCCTGCCCGAAACCAGTCTTAAGGCCAGGTGGCAACCCATATAGGTGCAGTAGGCCAGGCATTATTGCGCCACAGTCGCCAATGTGCATCTGGCTTCCTAAGTGGTGGGTGTGTGGGTCCCAGGCGAGATTTAAAAATGTGCCACTGTGGCCTTATTGCCACTATCTCAATATATTTATCACTTACAACCTAGATAATTTTTTCTTGTGAAGGGACAAAGTAATGTGTAGTGAAATATTTAAAATGAAATTCAGATAGTGAAATATATTTTAATTTATGAGACGGTGAAATGGCTACTCACAACACAGTCCCATTTACCACACAAAAGCAAGTCGTAATATAGAGGCCTAACTTGGAAAAATAATAAGTGAGAGTGAAATGTAGTGCAGTAGAGAGACGCATATGGGTATGGTGAATTACAATGAATATTGTGCTCATTTGATACGTATTCGTAACGCTATTGTTGTCCATATGCCAAGGTTTACCTTGTCTGAGTGGTAAGTGGAAATATTATTGCCAAAATTTAATTTTCGTCACAAATTTCTAACTGGTCTATTTCTCTTCTTAATTATGTGTACAGTAATAATCTGTCAAAAAACAATACAGTCAGTCCCCGACTTATGACGGGGTTAGGGACCGACGACCAGGTCATAAGTCAAAAATGCGAAAATAATACATAGAAAATCTAAAATGGGTGTCTCTTTTTCTTCTCGGCACCACGAAACTCTCACTTTTACGCTTGCCAGCCATTTTAAAGGGAATTACAAACGAAAATTTTGTCAGTACACAGCGCGATCACAAACGTCGGGACTCAAAAATACGTAATTTGGAAAAAAAATTGTACGACTGCGGTGGTCATGTGTCCTGGTGGTCGTAAGCCATGGAGTACCTGTACTTTAAAAAAAGATTATAAAAAAATTGCAAGGAAAAAATTTGTACAAACATTTTGGCAACTACACTCCAAACCACCATTTATTTTTACTTTTTGTTCTGTAACTCTTACTTTTTATGTTATTTTTTTTCTGATTTCACCATCATATTCCTTGTGATTTACTCTTTCTTGCCATGTGCATTTTTTACTGACTGATGCAATGATGTGGGTACAGTATGAAGAGGAATCAACTGTAAACTCTCACTTTTCACTTACTGTATACTCGCCAAAATGGCTTTTATTTATTTTTTATTTTATTTTATTTTTGAGGGTTTTATGTGATTTCCCAGCCTTTTTTTTTTACTTTGGGAGGCATCATTTCAATAAATATTTAACAATATCTTGGCCACGAATAATACCTGGGAAAAAAATCTCTGCAATTTCTGGTTAATCTGCAGCCACAAGAGTGGTCCTGTGACAGGCTCATTAAATCAATTTCAGGCGATCCCGAGAGTGTTAATGATGTTCTTCCAATTATTTGACTAGAACTTGTTTTTATTGTAAGTGATGTACATGTACCCTGTAGCAGTCCATTTTTTATGTAACTATGATGAGTAGTAAGGTGTGAGTATGGTAAAAACAAGGGCACAGTTTAGCCCAGTATCACATTCATATCTTCCAAATTATGTCCCATTGCTTTCAAATATATTTTGGTGCAACTTTCTCCCTTAAGGATATTCAGTGGTAAAACCCTCTTAATCTGGACTCTTTTTATCTGGATTTCTGCTTTATCCAGACTGGCAAACCACTCCAGACTCATTTCTGTTAATCCAGATTGAGTCTGGATTAACATGAAATAGTCCAAATCTATCCATGTGGTGGCAAAAATAACTAAATGCTTTTAAATGAAATCACTAACCTGCAGTATAATATACAATATATAATTCTTGGCCATAACGTACAGTATTTAAAAAAAAATTGGTGATGAGGTTGATGGTTGATTTTTTCAAGTCATATTCTCCATCAAAACTTTTGCAGACACACCTTTCTCATGATCTTCCAGAACTGTTAGCTTTCCTGCAAGCTAAACTCCTTACTGGCCCTCTTCTGACTTCCTTTTGAAGTTGTCTTGCCTATGGAAGCTGTGGTAATTAGTCCACAAAGTCACAAATAGTCCATAGACATTAAGAGATACACACAAGAGGGCTATAGCAGCACAACTGGCTTGTAAACTAAGCGGCTGGGGCTGGTGTTCATGTGCACCAGATGGTAATCTGGCTTGCTATCCAGATTTTTTCGGTTAATCCACACTTCTTACGGATTAAATAAACCCCCTCTGGAAAGAGCTTTACCTGGAAATTCACTTAATATGGACTGGATTTCCCCCCAATTAGTCTGGATTAAGAGGTTTTGCTATTTTGTACTTACAATAATGAAGTATCATGAAAGGATCTTGGCATGTTACGAGTACAAGATGTATTTTTTATTTTTTTAAGTTATAGTATCTCATTACAAGTACTGTATGTCCTTTTCAAGGCTGACTCTTTTTGCGAGTTTATAATTAGAAACTGACTTATAAGCATTAAACTGTTCCTATTTTCATTGCTATTTTTGATGTTTGTATTGAATAAGGATATACTGTATGATCAATTAGTATTTTGTTTCAGAATAATTATTGAATCATCATCTATGAGGTTTTAAAAGCTAATAACTATGGCACACAATTTATTGTCAGTATGGAACAAAGTTACCCCTTATTACCTTAATACTGGGTAGCCCCACTTTAGAGCTGCCTGTATTAGGTATGCACCTGAAAAAAGAAAACAAGAAGTGGTCTGATGCTTCTTATGCTGCTTGGATAGCATGTTAATACTGACATATCCACCACTCCTCTCTTCTATCATGTAGGTTGACCAGTAGTCAGAGCATACTAGTATTGCATCTTCCTCTTTTGGTTATTACCGTTGAGATAAGGATTCTTTTTTTGGATCTGTGACATAAAGGTTGATTTCAGCTTATAATAGGGTGTGTTTATAATAGGGTGTGCTTGGAAATCAAAAATATGTAAGGCAAAGCAGATTTTCTCAATGATTACTAATGTAAATTTAGAGATATGTTCTCATAAAAAATTCTTCTGACTCGTAATAAAATGAGACTAAAAGTGTTTTAAGCCCTTTTTTAAGGAAATCAGTAGTTCAAAACATTGATAATACTGTACAGTACTTAATAAATTTAATCCAAATTAAAATACCGATATTTTACTTGCAAGAAACTGTGGTGTTCAGTGGTGGTGGATTTGAAGTAACTGAGAAAGTGAAGGTGGGACAGAAAGAACATTCTTGTTTCCCCAGTTAATATCCTTGTATATATACTGGTAATGTATTGATTATCTCTGTCTCCAAACTTTGGAAATCTCTGAACTTGGCCATTTTAACCAGATAAATTATTCAAATTTTGTGCCAATCATCCTTCATATTTAAACTTATTTGATATCAGTGCTTCGTTGCATTATTTCACTTTCACTAGCTCAAAATGGCCCTATGTTACCAATAGTATCCCAAAAATTTTCAATGGGTCTTCATCATCCCCTGCAATGTCTGCTCAAAGAAGTAATGTACAGTACTGTAAGCAAGAAAATATAAATATTGTGATGACTCAATGGATGTGAGAATGCAAACAAACTTGTGCATGAATATGCACCTCACTATCTCGCATACATTTGCTTCTCAAAACTCCATTATGGTTTACAAACTTACCTTAATTAATACTGTACATTTCAAGACCACTACTCACCACCAACCTCATTCTGGATGCAACCACATAAGCTAGTCTTAATTTTTATCACTGTACATATTGCATTATATCACCGGTAACCTTTTGTGACTACACTTATACAGCTTTTATATTGACAGTCATTTCACTTGTTATCTTTAATTAATAATTTATGATTATATTTCTAGTAACAAAGCACTTATATATACAGTGGTTCCTCGATTAATGAACACAATTGGTTCCACAGAGTCG